CATTTTGTAGGGCTTTGGCAGTGCTCACCCTGTTTCTCCTTGCACAAAGGAGCAGATACTGGTCTTGCTGATGGGTTAATGATCTTCTACGGCCCTGTCCAGCTCTCCCAGAGTAACTGCCTGTCTCCTGGAATCTCCTCAATGCTTTTGAGACTGTGCTGGGAGACACAGCCAACCTTCTGGCAATGACACATATTGATGTGCCATCCTGGAGGTGTTGGACTGCCTGTGCATCCTCTGTAGGGTCCAGGTATTGACTCATGCTACCAGTAGTGACACTGACCCTAGCCAAATGCAAAACTAGTGAAAAACAGTCAGAATAGATGAATAGGGAAAAAATGGTCAGTGGCCTCCACCTGTAAAACCATTCCTGTTTTGGGGGATCGTCTCATTGTTGCCCATCTAGTGCACCTGTTGTCAATTTCATTAACACCAAAGCAGCTGAAATTGATAAACAACTCCCTCTGCTACTTAACTGACCAGATCAATATCCCAGGAGTTTAATTGACTTGCTGCTATACTCTGATTAAAAATTGTTCCTTTAATTTTTTTGAGCAGTGTGCATGCAGATCTGGAGGGTCTTAATAGCAAATGCCCATTAGTCGGCTTCCTATACACCTGAAAGCTAAAACTTACCTGACAAAAAATGCCCTTTGTCTTCTTGGTGATGACCGACTACAAGGATGAAGTGACAATCCTTGGTTCAAACAGTAAGTGCATGTCCTGGCAGAAACTGGCAGTAAGAAAGCAAGATGATAAGGAGTGTACTGCTTTAAGAGGCCCGCAGAATGACGACAATCCAGATAAAGGTACCCATAAGGAAGACACTGTTCCCCTCCAGCTACCAACCTGCATAGAGCAGTCACAGCATGCAGGGATAGACTGCCAGCTGCACAAGTACCTGGCACAGTAAAAGAAACTAATCCCTGGCAAACAGGGATACTGCACAAGTCTAAGGGAGAACTCCACATTGTTAAGAAAAATATAGCATGCTATCCAACCCATGTAGTAATTAAAAAAAATTACCTTCCTAATTCAAACTGCAGCAGCTGAAGTTTCCTAAGCTGTCAAAAAACACAATGTAATAATTGTTCTGTTTGCTAAGTGTGAAAAGCCCCTAAAGGGTTAACCGCTGCTAAAGGAATACTGACTCACATCAGAGCACTGTGATTTCAACAGGTGACTTATGAAACAAATCCTGCCATTCAGGACAAAAAATAGTAGGAGCCTACATGAAACTTTGATAAAATGCTGCAATATACCATTGATCACCCAGAGAGCATTGTCATGCTGTATGTTTTAATTTTGGTTTTGTATATTTTTTTTTAACAAGATTGGAGCTTCCCCTTGAAAGCCCACATGGTGTCTGGTCAAGTGCCTGTGCTGACCTGAAGCTAAACATACTCATGTATAACCTCTTCCACAGGGTGATTGATGCACATGTAGGGCACACTGCTGATAGCTGGACATTTGGTCAAACATAGTTCAGCCAATGCTCCCTTGAAAAACACATCTAACCATACTAATAGCAGTAACTATAAGACACTAATGCAACCTGGATGCCAGAGGCAGGATTGCAGCTGCAGTATCGACACTGGGCATACTTAATCGCCCCCCGCTGATAGCAGGGCTTTCGGTCAATGCAAATGTCCATCAATGGCAATGCCCACTCACTAGGCATGGTGATCTTCAGGCATCAGACTTTTGCAACATATGCCACGCACCATCCTGCTGATAGCAGGGGATCTGATCAATTCAAATGCATGGCAATGGTAGGGCTTACTCTCGAGGAATCAATCCTCTGCATAAGTGTGCCAAACACCACCCTGCTGATAGTTGGGGACACAGTCATAACTCAAGTAGTCCTGTTGAAACTGGAAGTCTCTTGGATACTGCAGGACACTCCATGTATCCGCATAGCTTTTCTTGCTTGAAATCTGGCCACTGATGCTTCCAAAAGGTAAAGGAAACTTCAAACACAGTGTCCTGTGAGTGAGGAGGATAAAAAAGGAACACGGCCTCTGTGGGACTGGGGTCCTATGGGATAAGAGCAAAGACAAAGATACCCAAATGTATGCTGCCATGTAGTCTGTCAAGAAAGTCAATAGCTCTCCAAACTTCATGTGGCCTTCAGATTAGCACAACAACAGTGCATAGAGAGCTTCATGGAATGGGTTTCCATGGCTGAGCAGCTGCATCCAAGCCTTACATCACCAAGTACAATGAAAAGCGCTGAATTCAGTGGTGTAAAGTGTGTGGCCACTGCACTCTAGAGCAGTGGAGACATGTTCTCTGGAGTGACAAATGATGCTTCTCTGTCTGGCAATCCGATGGATGTATCTGGGTTTGGCGGTGGCCAGGAGAACGATACTTGCCTGACTGCATTGTGCCAAGTGTAAAGTTTGGTGGAGGGGGAATTATGGTATGGGGGGGGGTCAGGGGTTGGGCTTGGCCCCTTAGTTCCAGTGAAGGGAACTCTTAAGGCATCAGAATAGCAAGACATTTTGGACAATTTCATGCTGCCAACTTTGTGGGAACAGTTTAGGGATGGCCCCTTCCTGCTCCAACATGACTGCGCACCAGTGCAGAAAGGGAGGTCCATAAAGAGATGGATGACAGAGTATGAGGTGGAGGAACTTGACTGGCCTGCACAGAGTCCTGACCTCAAGCCGATAGAACACCTTTGGGATGAATTAGAGTGTAGACTGCGAGCCAGGCCTTCTTGTCTGACATCAGTGCCTGACCTCACAAATGCGCTTCTGGAAGAATGGTCAAACACTCCCATAGACACACTCCTAAACCTCGTGGACAGCTTTCCCAGAAGAGTTGAAGCTGTTATAGCTGCAAAGGGTGGGCCAACTCAATATTGAACCCTACGGACTAAGATTGGGATGCCATTAAAAATTCATGTACTGTACATGTAAAGCCAGGTGTCCTAATACTTTTGGCAATATAGTGTATATCATTTCTGTTGCTAGCAGACTACAATTACATGTCTTGAAATTAGCATGGGCAAATTGTTTATAAAATGTATGTTCTATTTTTCATTTGTAGCCTTGAAAATTAAACACATTTCATATATACCTTATTAGCAAACAAATGATTCATTTTTTCTACTCCAAATTGTCTGTAGTTTAAGATATAAAGTGCAGACAGCTAGAATTGCCTGCACACACCTGCAGCAGGTAGTATAGGTGTCTGCATTTATGCCTGCCTACCCTTTTTTTTTTTTAATAAAAGCATCAAATTTAGGACCACAAGTGTACTCCTAGTCAGCAGTGGAAATTTAGGGTTATACCAAATATTGGAAAAAGTAAGCCCCTAGCAATCAAATTAAACTAAACATAGAGGGCCTATTAAAAAATGTTTACAAGCTAATACAAGTGGCTAATACAAGTGACTTTTACAAGCTAATACAATGGCTAATACAAGTAAAAAAAAACATGTTCCACCTCCATGTCCATAATTTTTAATGTGTACAATGGTGAACAGGTTTACTTTAAAGTTTCATTTTGTGAAAATACATCAATGATATTGTTGACAAGGTTAGAGACTATAATTTCTAAAATTGAGATTCACCTACATAAACAGAACATCATTAAAACCAGTACCAAACACATCTTCCCTATTACCAGAAGTCCTAAAGATCTCTAAGTTATAGATGTACTGTTTCAGAAACAATGAGCTAATCATTGTAGCATATGTAAAGCCCAACTTTTTTTTTACATTTTGGATTGAGTAAAGAAATGTTAGAATCTGTATCCATTTGTTTTTGCTGTGCCGAGTGGGAAGAGTCACCCTCACTACTAATCCCAGAGACCACTGTTTCTGGTAGAGAAAGCGAAAGGAAATACAACATTTTTCAGAACAGGAATAGAAGAGAAATCTTCCAATGAGTAAGAATATTTTGGTAACAATTGTCTACAGACTCATTTACACAGATGCAGAGATCTGTGCAGTTTGAAGTGCCATTTGTTTATGTTTCTGAAGCAGCATGGAGCTGTGATCAGGCAGCCTGTGTTAATCAATGGAGGCACAGTGGCTGTATGGAATCACCCAAAGATCCAAGTTTGACAAGTACACAGGGACAGGTGCACATCCCCACTGCACACTGCAGCAAAAATATAAAGCAAACAGCTCTTCACACTGTATGGGCCTTGGAACCCTTTGGAGAGAAGACCTCTTTTTTTCTTGCTGTGTCGCTGGAAGAGGAATGATATACACAGGGGAAAACACAGACAGGGATCTTATCCATTCCTTACCTTATTTAGAACTAGAAAAAACTGTGGCTTAAGTACACTTTAAAATGGCAGGTCCATTATATTGAAATCCCTTTACCGCCTAAAGTCAAATCTCCCACATCAGCATTATGAAAATAAAGCCACTGTATATATTAAAAAAAAAAAACTTACTTTCATCTTGGATTCTGATGCCAGCAGAAGGCAAAAAAGATATCATGGTGCCTCATTACTGCCTCTCTGAAAACTGGGGCTTGAAACCCAAAAACAATTAGCTTACCAGGGCTGCTTTCTTGTGGGATTTCCAGCACCCAGCTTTCCCAACAAGCAGTGGTGAGGTAGCTAAGGTAAGTATTGTCTTCCTTTTTTTTTGCAATAGCTTAATTTTTAAAACATTTTTGTATGTGGTTTAACCTTGGGAGCTTTCAGCTTTTTCAGGAGCAGATTTTATTTTTTAGAATTTAGTAATTAATAACGTATCCTTAACTGAGATCTACTAGAGACCTAAGAAGAGGCAACTTTGATCATATTAGATCAGTTAAATATATTTATATTTCTTAAGGTCCGTGAATCACAATAACTGATGGAGGATGAGTTTAGTTGATAAAGAAATCTGTAAGAATCTGATGATTCTATGTGAAACTAAACACTGAGTTAGTCTTCCAATGTAGTTACGTCTTAATATACTGTATGCAGAGTATGCAAAACTGTTGCTTTTCAGTGGGACAAGACCCAGTTGTACCACCAGTCTGCATCAGTTTAATGGTCCTGCCATGTGTTGCTGCTTTAAGTAATATTATTTTTTTTCTTCTTTTTTTTTACAATAGATTCTACAATGACTTACAAATATGCCTGGAAAACAGTGCTGATATCCTTTCTCTTGCATACCCTAATGAATTGGCACATTCCGCAATTCTAAATGCTCATCAAAAGTTTTTCAGCGGTTGTGTTCTGCCTAAAGAATTCATGGATCCTCCAGAGAATGTGTTGCTGGCATTAATATTTGCACCGATCTGTATAATTCCTTTTCTGGTTACCCTTGTTGTCTATAAGAGCAATACTAGCAAACCACAAACTTAGGGTTTACTGTGGACTCTACTAAGCACTGTGATTAAGCCCCAAAACTGCTTGTTAAGGTGTTAGCAGAAAGTTTGGATAGACTCAGGTCAATTTTTTGACCATGCCTATTACTCATGTTCTAGATTTTCAGTCTCAGACTGAATGTAGTATGTTCTTCAGTAGTAATTTAATAGACTTACCTCACATTCTGGCTTGACTTCTTGAAGCTCTTTTTCTACTGTATTTCCATGACGGTCTTTTAATTAATGTCAAAGTGCTTACATTGGAGCATTCTGATTTTATTCTTTGGATTTCATAGCTGTATTAGATCCATCTTCACAGAACTGACTTTTTGCTTGAAGATATAAATTTTTCTTAGAAACAGCCCCAAAAGATCTTCCTCTTTGAACAACCATCAGAAGACTGACGAAAAAAGTACAGTACCTATTGAAAGTATTGCACGATTTTCCACCATGGAAAGCAGGAATCAGAATATAAGGAACAACAGGGCCTAACACTGACTGTACTTTAAATGAGCACTGTGCCATTTATTTTAATGCATAGAATTCTAAAAAAAAAATATATATTTTTTCAATGTAAAGATAGTCAACCATACATATGAAAGTTACTGTTTAACAAAATACTGGAAACATGTTTTGGCATCATCTCTTTAATATTTATAAAAATACAGTAATATCTCAAAAAGATAAATGATTTAAGATGAAGCGTGTACTTCCAGCGTGAGGGAACTGGTTGGAGATGGTGAAGCCTCCAAGGTGATATTTTGTACATAAACAAACATATATTTATGTTGAAACTACCATATTTAAACTACAACCAGTATTTTGAGAGTATTTTGAAAATAGTTTCTGCTACAGCTAAAGAATGAGATTTCCTGACATATAACTCCAAAGGGAACATTTTGACTGCATGAAAGATGAAACCCTGCTGACTCTGATTCATGTTAGAAAGAAGAAAGTTGGTGGCTAAACTTTCATTTCTGTTCTTTGGTTTCAAGATACACATAAAATTGCGTAATTTAACCCTGTATCATTCTAGGGAAATGAGTATACTGAACTTAAGAAAATCATGAAAATAATTTTATCTGTAATAATATATATATATATATATATATATATATATATGAACATGGAGTTTGTGAATGTGTGAGAAAAGTAGTATGCGTGATGGGTGTAATAATGTACTTTTAAGGATCAATAAAGCTAAAGGCTGCCATGTAAGTGTAAGTAGACCTGTGTTTTATGGATTTAGTAATACACTGCCAAATTTGGTGCCTGAGCCATACTTCTAGATACAACGTTTACTGTTCTACGTGTTTATCTTGAATGGACACGTGTGCAGCTAAGCCTGTTGAATGTCTGTTTTGACCAGTCTGGTAACCCTGTAGATTTATTAGAATATATGAGCACGTCTGGCGTTTTGAATGCAAATTAAAATCCTAACTATTCCCAACACATAGGCTGATTTATTAAAACTGCAGAGTGCAAAATCTAGTGCAGCTGTGCATAGTAGCCAATCAGCTTCTAACGTCAGCTTGTTCAATTAAACCTTGGCAAAAAAATAGAATTTGATTGGTTTCTGTGCAGATCTGCACTAGATTATGCACTCTTCCACTCTCCAGTTTTAGTAAATCAATCCCATAGTTTTTTTACCTAGCCCAAAATGGCCGATAATATAAAATTAATGATGCTGTCTAACTAAAGCTTTATTGAATGGTCTCAGGACCTCCTTCCCAGCTGGTGATCCATCTAGTGATGCAAATATATGCAATGTGCACTTTTAAAATCTTTTCAATCTGAAATTTTCAATTAACACTGTGACATTGTACTCTATGGGACCCATATACAAAAACTTGGAGCGCCACTCAAAACACTTCAAAACTACTCCATGTAGTCCAAAAAACTAGGGTGCTGCCCTTCAAACAAGCTCATCCAGGCTAGCTAAAATAAATCCGAAGACAGAAGGTGGAAATGCCACACACTAGTACCCAATCACTATATATAGAGGTCTGAACTCCTGGCTATGCTTCTATGACATATTTTTACCTGCTGCTTACGGGGGCTTAATCATAGCACCGACACATCTCTGACACATTTCTCTCCTCATAGGCTGGGAGAAATGTGTCAAATACGTGTTGGCACTCCAAACTTTCTTCACCTTTCTATATAGTGTCTGGGCTCCAGTGTGCAGTGTTTCCACCTTCTGTTTTCCATTTATACTCTATGGGATTACACTTTTTCCCTAAGTACATTATTTTTAAATGCACTGAATTGCAATTCCAATTTTCCAGAAGTGTGCATTTGTTACAAGAACTAACAGAACAAACTGAAAGAAATAGCTTACTGTGTGTAGCACCCAGGGGCGGACTGACCATTTGGAAACTCGGGCACTGCCCGAGGGCCCGGGGTCAGTAGGGAGCCCCATGAGATGCCCCTGGTACCTTTTTCATAGGCTTTTTTGAGTTTGGGCAAGGACACAGGGGCCCCATGATCCCCTATTGCCCGAGGGCCCCATGAGTTGTCAGTTCGCCCCTGGTAGCACCCTTTAGCTGAGTGAAAGTGGTAAAATCCACTTTGCAAAGAATAACCAATCACATTCAAGGAGTTGAAACAAAAATAGGATTTTTGCTTGCACATGGTTGTATGACTGAAGTCAACACAGCTTCACCTCATTTACTAACATAGTTGACAATTCACTTTCTAAAAGTCAAAATTCAGACTGCAAGTGAACAGCCTTTGTTCCTTTAATAAATAAATCATAATGTGTTGTAAATAAATAAAATGTGAACAAGAGGTTAACCTCTTGCCCTCCAGAGGATTTACCCCCCTTCCTGACCAGGTAATTTTTTGCGATACGGCATTGCGTTACTTTGACTGACAATTGCGTGATCATGCAATGCTGCACCCAAATTAAATTTACGTCATTTTTTTTCCACAAATAGAGCTTTCTTTCAGTGGTGTTTTATTACCTCTGAGTTTCTAATTTTTTGCAATATAAAAAAAAAGACCGGCAATTTTGAAAAAAAAACTATATTTTTGACTTTTTGCTATTAAACATGTCAAATAAAAAAAAAGAAAAAATCAAATTTCATCATAAATTTAGCCCAAAATATATACTGCTAAATAGGAAAAAAAAGCCGGACCAATGGGTACGGCACAAATGTTGGGTTTTTTGAGCACGAAAGAGACCACACGGTAAAATAATACAACCATTTATTGACATAAAATAGTCCTATATTCTTTATAGGACCCATAGTACAAACATGCCCCTCAGAAGAGGGGACAAAAGCAGGGGAAATAAAAACTACTATTCTGCTACATGTTTTTGCTAAAAGAAAAATTAATTGCTTGAAAATGAAAGTTATAGCGTTTACAAATGGCGGTAGATGTAATGGATTTTATTTCTTAGTAATGGCGGCGATCAGCGACTTCGGCGGGCATTTTGACACTGGGAGGAACTGACTTGATGTCACTGGCATCCCCAGTAGCAGTGTTCAGTGCTAATAAAAAGTACTGGCACTGTATTAATGGCACTGGGCAGGAAGGGGTTAACATCTGTGGCGATCAAAGGGTTAACTGTGTGCTGTTTTACTATGTGCCGTGTGTGTGTTTTACACTGTAAGCATACCGCTTTGTATGGCTCTGCTATACAAAGCCATACAAAGAAGTGTGTGCACAAAGAAGTGTGCAGGAGTTGACAGGGGAGAGATCTGTGTTGTTTATACACAAGTCTCTCCCCCGTTGGTAATACTCGGAGATTGCTGGATGCCGACGGGGAATCACCAGACTGCTGGGACTTGCTGATTGACAGCCAAGGCCAAGAATGGCGGCACGATTACAAAATCATATATATATATGATAAGCTTCAGCGTGTGACGTGATTTTGAACACCCATGTGGCAGTATTTCTGCTATAGGGCAGCATGGAAGTGGTTAAACATGAAAAAGTTGTACTATTAAGTGATTCTAAAGTTTATTTTTAGTGAACTCTAAAGCAGACACATTATAATCAGTTTGTAAAATATATGCAATCTCCTTTGGATCTTTGGATCCTTTGTAATAAAAGTGCTTACCTGACCAATCCATTCAGCTTGTAATCAGACAAGCACTTGCACTATCTGTGAAATAATAACGGTAGAACACACTGTTCCACTGCTGTGCGTTGTAGTAACATGAGTATTTCCAAAATGCATAGTATAGCATGTATACTACATGTTTTAACACATTGAAATGCTATCAATTTTCGAATGGCACCCCAATGGACATAGGTGCAGCACAGCACACAGTAAAGCACTACCATGTGTTTTGATGTGCTGCATTGCCAGAAATTATGTTTATTCTCTTTTGGATGTTTGCATGTGTTTCCAGCCCATTCATTTGCCCATTCATCTGCCTTTAATGTAGCGTACATTACTGTATCAAACAATATGCATAAACACACCTGCATTAATGCAACACACCAGCACAGGTCTCAATGGCCTCAGTGAATGTCAAATGAACTCCATCAAGCTTATCATTTACTAACTTGTTTACTCCATGAAGGACTATAAAAGCAAAAACAAGGTATAGGGTAAATACCCACTTGGCACCATGCAAGCACATGATAAAATAACCTGGTCCCTCCTATATATTCCCCTCTAAATACTTACCTGAGTCCTATCTCAATCCAGTGCTGTGCCCGAAAACAGCATCACTGCTGTCTCTCCTCTCTCCTCACAGGACTCAGTGGTGACAGCAGGAGCCATTGGGGGTCCAGGAGGTTTCGGGACCACTCTGTGCAATACCAATGCACAGAACAGACAGTATAACATGTTTGCTATTTTAATTAAAAAAAAAGTATGACTTTACAATAGTTTTAAATTTTATGTCTGACCAAAATAAAACATAAATACAATACATCCCAGGAATGCATGAGCATTTCCCCATGTTTTGCCATTTATAGTATAGTATAGAAAATTCCTGTTGGTCTGCTAAAAATCCAATAAAACCCTAGCTTCCTGAA